GAGGAAAGGTCTATTGAAACATACTGTGCATGGTTGTGAGTAATTGATTTTCTATAATTTTTGACACCTTTGTAAAAATGCTATTTGCTAATAAAACTGCTGTTCTACCTTGTGGCGAGGGACTTGTCCATCAAAAACCTAGAGGTGAAAGACACTCAGTGGGAATCTCATTAAAATAATTTGTTTCTGATGGAAAGATTGTAGTCAGGTCCCATCAGTTGCTCAAGTGTCAGACACATTCACTGGCACATTTTAAAACTCTTTAAAAATAGGGTGGGATTGTTAGCACTTGCTCAGCTTCCTTGTCAGCCTCTTTAATTTCCAAGACATGCCTAGACCTGCCTTTGGCTTTGCAGTTTGGAGGAGATGATAGCCTAGTATTTCTTTCTTTCTTTCTTTCGAACATTTTTACCCCGCCCTTCTCAACCCCTGGGGGGACTCAGGGCGGCTTACAATTGGCAATAATTCAATGCCGCATCATAAAATACAGAATAGCAAATATAACAATTAAACATGAACATTAATAAATAAAGATTAAAACAGCATACTTACACTCTGATTAGCTATTGCCCGTCTGGTGGCTGTTTAGCTAGCCATCTGCTAATGATTACTCCGCTTAACTTATCCAAATCCTCTTCCATGCCATAATCAACATCGATTGTCCTTTAACCTGATTGCCTGAAGGCCTGGTCCCACAGCCACGTTTTAACCTTTTTTCTAAAGGTGAAGAGGGATGACAATGATCTAATTTCCCTGGGGAGCAAATTCCACAGGTGGGGGCCACCACCTAGAAGGCCCTGTCCCTCGTCCCCACCAAGCGTGTTTGAGACAAAGGCGGGGCCAAGAGCAGGGCCTCCCCAGACAATCTTAAACTCTGAGGTGGGACATAGAAGGAGATACGTTCGGACAGTATGCTGGACCGGAGCCGTATAGTAGACTGGATGAAGTTAATCTGAAAAATGTTTCAAACATGACATCTCTCTATGCTTCTTTTTAATGTTAAGCTTCAAGACTGTGAGCACTAGAACTTGAGAGAGAAGGTTATTTCTGTGCAGAGTTCTAACTATTCAGGATTCTCAAGATTAAAGTGTCCACCTTGAACATTATGGAGTCCTCATGGACAACAAGTTAAACATGAGCCAACAATGTCATGCAGTGGCAAAAAAAGCCAATGAGATTTTGGCCTGCATCAATAGAAGTATACTGTCTAGATCCAGGGAAATCATGCTACCCCTCTGTTTGGCCTTGATCAGACCATACCTGGAATACTGTGTCCAATTCTGGGCGCCACAGTTGAAGGGAGATGTTGACAAGCTGGATTGTGTCCAGAGGAGAGCGACTAAAATGATCAAGGGTCTGGTGAACAAGCCCTTTGAGGACCAGCTTAAAGAGCTGGGCATGTTTAGCCTGAAGAAGAGAAGGCTAAGAGGAGACATGATGAGAGCCATGGATAAATATGTGAGGGGAAGTCATGGGGAGGAGGGAGCAAGCTTGTTTTCTGCTGCCCTGGAAACTAGGACAGGGAACAATGGCTTCAAACTACAGGAAAGAAGATTCCACCTGAACATTAGGAAGAACTTCCTGACTGTGAGAGCTGTTCAGCAGTGGAACTCTCTGCCCTGGAGTGTGGTGGAGGCACCTTCTTTGGAGGCTTTTAAGCAGAGGCTGGATGACCATATGTCGGGAATGCTTTGAGTGCGATTTTCCTGCTTCTTGGCAGGGAGTTGGACTGGATGGCCCATGAGGTCTCTTCCAACTTAATGATTCTATGATTCTATTATGGCATTCACAGCTGGAAGGGTCTAGTTTTGATGATATAAAAAGGTAGAAGAGAGCTGTCACGACAATGTACTTACTGCCCTGATATTCTATATGTGACTTTTCAAGATGCAGCTTGGATGACCAATAAGGAAAAGAGAATGATGGACTAGATGAAAGGCCAGGGGGGTACGTTCAGACCAGAAGCCCAATTACATTTCATAACTGTTCCCAGGTACTACCTTCAAATGGGGGCTAGGGTAGCAAGGCCAAAGAGAAATGAGTCACCAAAATGGCAGTATATTTTCACTGAATTCCCCTACTTCCTGTAACTAACCTTTGATGAGTGGGGAAGGCATCCTAACCTTTTGAAATGCAGATCAGGAGATGTAAGCTGGGAAAACTTCAACAGTTGATTCCCAGGAGGACCAGATTCAGTCCCAGAACATAAGCTATCTCACCTCGGCACTGGATGAGCTATTGTTTTGCTCCAGCATGGCTCAGTGCATGCTCTGATGCAACAGGGCTCCAGCACAGACCAGGGAACTATGCTTGAATTATATGCTTTATGAACAGCCTCTGTGAAGTAGTAACTTCCAGAGAGCTAACTATCTTGGTCTGAGGCAGAAGAACAACAACAGCAACAAAACAACAGTGTTTTGTTAGAGACTGATAAACTCATTAGAAATCCACGTCATCATTTGATTAAAGCTGGAAACAGATTCAAGTAAGTTCTCAGTTTTTCAAAGATGGAATCAAGTCTTCCTCCCAACATCCCTACATATCCCTTCAAGTCTGCATAGTATCAAATCCGTCTTATAATAATCATATAACCAATTTTAGGACTAGAAACAAGACAGACTATGGCATTGCCATTAAGCTACCATGTCCCCCTTACTTCCATTTCCTGATTCAATGAACATTTAACTAGATTATGAGTTCTGGAGAACCTGAAAGCTTGCTCGCTAATCTGTGATATTTTGTATGATTCTCATCTGAATATGGCTGTATCAATGTCCACTGAATTAGAGGTTTACTTTCCGTTCTCCTAAAGAGACACCGTAAAAAACAATATGCTTTAATGGTTAGAGAATCATAGAGTTGGAAGAGACCTCGTGGGCCATCCCGTCCAACCCCCTGCCAAGAAGCAGTGAATGTCTGCTTGGACACTCACTGCAGGCTCTGAGGCCAGCAATTCTGTTATCCTAACCAGTCTTACTGGGTAGTTATAGGGTTAAATGGGGCCTGTATGCCCCTTCTGGAGTAAGGCATATCACATTCAAGACAATGAGGATGTTCTAGGCATGTCTTAATGGAGAAATTCACCATTTCAGAGAGTAAACTATAACTTGAATGACTAGTGGCTGATCTATGATACTGATGGTATCATAGTATACAAGGCCCTGGATTAAAAACAAATCCAACACAGACGATGGCCAGAACAGCTATCCATATTTATCAGCTAGAACAGCAAAACACAAAGAAGATATAACAAAAGAGTCAGATCAAACACAAAAGGTTTATATGGCCAGCCAGCAGCAAAGAAGCCAATTTCTAGCCCAACATGCCAGATATTCCTGGGAAAGAAGATAACTGCTTCAACAGATAGGTGCCTAGTAGTGCTGATACTATATACTTCAAAGGAACCGTTCTGATAGCTATCAGAGTCTGGTCCTATCCAGTAAATGTAGGGATCTGTGAATAGCATTGCTTCTTTTAATATGAAGAAGTGTATACTGAGTATATTTTTCTTCATATTAAAAGAAGCAATCCAAATAATGAATATTAATGTTTCACTGTGTTAAGAATTTTGTGTTTTCCTACAACTGAAGCTCTCCTAGAATATATGTACTGTATTTGTATAAATCTCATTCAAAGATTACCATTTAAAAATAAAGCTGTAGATCAGCGTTTCTCAACCTGGGTGTCAGGGCCCCTGGAAAAAGGGGGGCATGAGGGAGGTGTCAGAGGGGTTGCCAAAGACCATTAGAAAACACAGTATTTTCTGTTGGTCATGGAAGGGCTGTGTGAAAAGTTTGGATCAATTGTATTGTTAGTAGGGTTCAGAATGCTCTTTGACTGTAGGTGAACTATAAATCCCAGCAACTACAACTACCAAATGTCAAGGTCTGTTTTCCCCAAACTCCACCAGTGCTCACATTTGGGCATATTGAGTATTTGTGCCAAGTTTGGTCCAGATCCATCATTGTTTGAGTCCACAGTGCTCTATGGATGTAGGTGAACTACAACTCCAAAACTCAAGGTCAATGCCCATCAGACCCTTCCAGTATTTTCTTTTGGTCATTGTAGTTCCGTGTGCCAAGATTGGTTCAATTCCATCGTTGGTGAAGTTCAGAATGCTATTTGATTGTAGGTGAACTATAAATCCCAGCAACTACAATTCCCAAATGACAAAATCAACCCCCCACAACACCACCAGTTTTCAGATTTGGGCGTATTGGGTATTTGTGCCAAATTTGGTCCAGTGAATGAAAATACATCCTGCATATCAGATATTACATTATGATTCACAACAGTAGCAAAATTACAGCTATGAAGTAGCAATGAAAATAGGTTTATGGTTGGTGGTCACCATAGCATGAGGAACTGCATTAAGGGGTTGCAGCCTTAGGAAGGTTATTGAAACTGGTAATTCCTTATACTCTGATCACCAACCAAGAAATTACATAGGTCCCCTTTTTTCTGACTTTTTCTTTCCAGAAGAAAACCAAACAGTGTGTGCAGTTCTGCTCAACATGCCCCCAGTCTTCTCCCCATTTTTGGGAACCCTCTCCCAAAAATCTGAGCAGAAGATATTGAAAATCCCACTCAGCCTTATATTAGCAAACCGCTTGCCCTTAAGTACACTTAAGTCATTATTGGCCCCCTCTGATTGCATGAGCAAACACTGCTAGGAATGAATGCACTGTCTCAGCAGGACAGATTAAAGGCTGAAGCATTTGTGCTTTGAGAATTTTTTTGCTCAGGTCACAGTGATCTTGCAACAAAGTGGGGCTCATGATGAATCTAGCAGACCAGCTAGATAAGACTGCTCAGGTTAGCAAGGCATCCAGCGACTGTGGCACTGCAATTATCTCCCCATCCCCACCACAAATGGCTGGTGGCTCTTAAGTAGCATTCCTTTCCTGGCTCTGAGGGGCTTATGGAGAGAGAGAGAGAGAGAGAGATGTATGGTGTGTTTGTAAGTGGGTGGATACCACTAACAGATGGAGCTGCCCAGCACTACAGGGGACAATTCATCCAATTCACATAAGGGTGTTGAGTGAAAGCAAGGGGAGGGATGGTAAAGGGGGCTGGGACATACACATTTGAAAGACAACTCAAAAGGAAGGAGCTGCTGCACCAGACTGTATGTGGGGCGTGTGTGAATGAGAGACGGAGAGAGATGACAGAGAAGGAAGAAGCCACTGGCCAGATCTGCCTAAAACTTTGCAGAAAGCACTTACAAGAGAGAGTCAAATGAGCTAAGAGACTGGGAGAGTTTTCCTCCCTACAACAAGGAAGGAACTCAAATAAGGTGGCTTCGGATCACTGACAGATTACATCAGATCAGAAGAGAATATCTTCATATACCAAATACATTCTTCCCATCCTTCTCCTTGAGCAGGCATGGAGTTCAGCATTGAAACCGACAACCACTCAGTCACGGAGGAATGTGACTACACCGAATGGAGTTCTTCAAAGATCCTGATTCCTTCCATCTACTTGCTCGTTTTCTTTCTAGGTACCACTGGCAATGGCCTGGTGCTATGGACCATTTTCTGGAGAAGCCATGAGAAACGGCGATCTGCAGATACATTCATTGCCAATTTGGCTATGGCTGATCTGACTTTTGTGGTTACCTTGCCACTCTGGGCTACCTATGCCATCCTGGATTATCACTGGTCCTTTGGCTCTTTTGCCTGCAAACTCAGCAGCTACCTGGTCTTTGTCAACATGTATGCCAGTGTCTTCTGCCTCACGGGGCTTAGCTTTGACCGCTACTTGGCTATTGTTCGCCCCATTGCAAACGCCAAACTGAGGTCAAAAGCTAGTGGAGTTTTAGTGACTACTATTCTCTGGGCCTTGGCAGCCTTTCTGGCTTTGCCAGCAATGATCTTCCGGAGTGTGGGCATGCTCAGTGCGGAGCATGACAAGGTGACCTGTTTCATGGATTTCTCCAGTGTGGCAACCAATGAGACAGAGGCAACCTGGGAAGCAGGGCTTGGATTGTCCTCCACCCTCATGGGCTTTGTAGTTCCCTTTGCCATCATGCTGACCTGCTACTTCTTCATCGCCCAGACCATTGCTGGTCACTTCCGAAAAGAGCACAGCGAAGGGTTGAGGAAACGGAAGCGTTTGCTGACCATTATCATTGTCCTGGTGGCCACTTTTGCTTTATGTTGGCTGCCCTTCCATTTGGTGAAAACGATCTACATGCTGATGGATTGGGAGGTGATGCCTTTGTCTTGTGATGTCCATGCCTTTCTTAGCAACCTTCACCCATACTGCAGCTGTTTGGCTTATGTCAACAGCTGCCTCAACCCTTTCCTCTACGCTTTCTTTGATCCCCGCTTTCGACAGGCCTGTGCTGCTGTCCTCCGGTGCAACTCAGGGCATTTGGCAGGAACTGCGGGGGACAAGTCAGCCAGTTATTCCTCTGGACATAGCCAGAACCACCCAGGGAAAGGACTGGAACCACAGCGGGAGAAATCGGGCCCCAAAACTCAGGAGACTTTGCTTCGTGGGTAAAAACTGAATAACATCAAGTACCAATGAAGGACTTTGGACATAAAGAGAAACATGCCTGTTGTCTACCTTCAAACTCTTTTATAGCATTTGTTATAGCATTAGTTTTCTAACACTATTTCATTTAAAAAAAACAAACCCTACACTGTATTATGCTTTTCTTCCTTTATTTACCTTTCAGGGATGTTGTTCTGCAGGGTGGGAAGGAGAGCATTGAATCCTCCAATGACAATTCTGCCCCAGAAATGACATTTACCTCCAGTCTCCAGATTTCTAACATGGCAGAGCGTGAGACTTTAAAACCATACACACTGAGAAATCCCAGATATCCTATGTTTGTATTCTTTGGTAACTCTGCCTTCTCCTTCCCTTTGGATGGCCACCCTCTTTTTCTAAATTCTGAATTGAAGTTTTAAGTTACTGCAGTGCTGGAAAGGTGAGATTTGAAGGGAAAAGCCACGGGGTGGCAAAATTCATACATGAGGGCAAGGTCCTCATTTCGCCCTCACTGTATCTGCACCTCATGCATATTCTGCTGAGATGTCAATTTTAATTTTGTCACTTGACCTCTTTTAATAACAAATATCCTACTGTGATATAAAATAAGCTTCTTAAAACCAGTTAGAGTCATGCCTTTTGATTTGTAGAGAAAAGCTCAAGTGTGTTCTGTATCACAAAGTGTCTGTTGTGCTTACTGTCATTGACTTATTAGTTTGCTTACTCAAGTTTAAGACTATAAGCCAAATCCTGAAATGTTTATTCAGACATGTATTGCAGACTGTCAAATAGAACAGTGGCGTCAAATTTGTGGCCCTTCAGGTGTTTTGAACTTTAGCTCCCAGATTTCCTGGCTACTGGATGAGCTGACTAGGACTTCTGGGAATTGGGGGCCCAAACATCTGGAGGGCTACACATTTGACACTTCTGAAATAGAAGATTTGTAAGTCAAGATTAGGGAACCTGTGCTTATAGAAATATACAGGTCTTATCAGTTTGACCAGAATGGCTAATGGCTATGGATTCTGGGAGGTGTAGTTGAATACCTAGAAAGTTACACATGCACAACTTCTACATCAGTATAGCCACAATGATTTATCTCCAACTATTTTGTACAGAAGACTGGTGGTGTTTCAAGTCAGACCCAGTGCGAAGTCAATAGATGACATATAGCAACCAACACACTTGCCTTCATCTTTTGTTTATCTGTCGATACCTGGAGTCTCCAACAATTTTCCTGTATTTCTATGGGCAGAAATAATACCAAAGCTATAACAAACTGGTACCATGGACAGAAGACTTTACCCTGGTAGAAGTTTATTTCTCTCTGTAGACTAGACTCATCACTGAACACATTAGGAACCAATGTAAAACTCTTGTCCCTTGGTTACTCTTTTCCCTACAGTTCATCACCATTTCCTTTCATTAAATATCCTCCTTTTTGTCTTTTATTAGGTTAAGTACCATGAGATCTTAACTGTAAGGCACAACAATTGTTTCTTTTTGTTTGTTCTTAGATGTGCCTTACTTTTTAATGTTTCTTTGCTCATAAGTCGCTGGGAGCTGGTTTCTCCCAGAACGTAATGGCATGTCTACAGCACCTACTTTTTTGCAGGTAGCAGAAAAAGAAGCAGAAATACACTATCACATTTTAATTGGCCATAAGAAATTCCTCTTATGGGCTTGGAAGGATTCAAATGGCTATTTTTCCATGTTTTATTTTTCTCTATTCATTGATTTAAAGCATTAAGCCAGATAGCTTAATTAGTCTGAGCTCTTCTGACAGTAATATTCTGGATTCTCACTACTGGAATAAGAATTATATATGTAAATGCTTCTTTGCATATTCTTTGTTCTTATTATTAACATGCCTAGCAAAATATTTGATAAAATGTCTGTATTTCTTTCTTTTTATATTTTTATAACCAAGTTTTTGTCTAAAAATGCATTGTAAATGGAACTCTTCTAAATAAAACTGTTGCTGAAATTTTAAATGGTGCAAATGAGCAAATCATTTTAAAAAATGAAATGTTCTGTATTTAATCAGAATAACAGACTGCAAAATGCCAATATTTTCTGATTTTCAGCTGGAATGAACATTTTGTCTCAAGTACTCAGTTTTCCTCTTGTTCCAATCAAAATATTTTTTTTCAGTCCAGGAATCTTCTAGAGTGGGACCCATTCAGGTTGGGGACTTCACTTCCAGAAACCCCAACCAGCTTGGCCAACTGCCTGGAATTCTGGAGCTGGAATCCAAAACATCTAACTAACAGTTGGGAATCACTTACCTAGGCCCTGGGATTCATCATTTATCCAATTTTGCTACTGTGGCCCTATAGACCAGGCATGGGCAAACTTTGGCCCTCCAGGTGTTTTGGACTTCAACTCTCACAATTCCTAGCAGCCCTGCACACAGTAGCCTCTCCAAAAAGTTGGAGAGACACTGCTGAAAAGGTCAAATGTACTCTATGGATTAGTTTCATACATGTAGCATATGCTTTCAGGTGCAATTCAAGTATGAATGAGGAAAAGCTTTTTCACCTGACTCTGTTGAATGCATATAATGCTGCAGGGACTGCTCTTTCTACTAAAGAACAACATTCAAGGCATCGTACTGTAGTGGGGGAGAATTCAGGGCCTATTATTATCTAACTGTTCAGTACTTCAGGCACGCCAAGTGGCCAGCTTCTGGTCAAAGGAAATTTAGTATAATGCCAGGTTTTTAACATTGTTTGTAGTTTTTTATACATTATAACTGTATTCTCAGTTTCTGACAGGATAAATAAATAGTACTTAATTTATAGGACTCAGTATTGGGTGTGGTCTCAGCCTCAATAAACTAAGTGGGTGAAATGGAACAGTCCTGTAATCTAAGATAGAAAACACTGATCTCCAGTCAGACTAGTTCCAAGAACTGGGCGGAGAGGAAGCAGTTTAAAGAGATTTTCTCACACAGCAGAGCAGCAAGCCCTTCCCTTGTATTGTGTGACCAGATCCAAATGTGCTTAACGTCAGACAAAAAGTAGGAGAGGCATTGCTGAAAAAGTCAAATGTACTCTACAGATTTTAATGCCTGCTTCTCCAATGCTCAGTTGCGGTGAGAGAAGAAGGGCTCTTTCCATTGTCCAGTAATTCAATTTTTTAAAAGTGCAGCTTAAGTAAAACTGTATTGTTTATAGTGGACCTATGGGGTGGGTGTGTGAATAAGGCATTGCTCTTCCAATATGAATTTAGAGATCAAAGTAACATGAAATTTTCTTTTCTCTCTAGCATCCCATAGAGGCAGGGGGTTGGACTAGATGGCCCATGTGGTCTCTTCCAACCCTATTCTTTTATGAGTCCATGAAATGCTGAAATTCATTCACACTTAGAATGTTTCAACTTCCTGCAGTGCTACAAACGTAGAGGCTGATGGAAAACTTCATTGGGGTGGCAGAAATATTTTTCTGCAGGGATAGGACAATGACCTCATTTTGCCACTCTGATAGCATCAACTCTGATGTGACCTGAGAAAATAGAACTAAGTATCCCAGTAGTAGTAATTCTCCCAGTTTCTGGAGCAGAGTTCTTTTCAAACCCTAAATGGAGTTGCCTGGACCTGAATCCACTTGAGATATCTTTTATACATGTGATTTGCCAAGCCAACATTTCCCTGAAGATGGAGAAATTAGAACTATCTGGGGTTGTTAAGAGATAGAACACATAACTTTTGCTTCAGCTGGAAAAGGCTGTGGGCCCCAAGGCTTGCCTGTGATTGGGAGCACACAAAAAAAAAGCCTCTTGTGTGCATGAGAGAGGCGAAGGAGCCCAACTGACATTGACACATTGTCATTAACACAACATCTGAACAAATCTCAGAAGTCTCAGCCTGTTGGTGATCAGAAAGCCAGGCTCACAATGCATTAGAATAGAACAGTGGCTGCTGTGTTGGTGTGATTGATTGTTTTTGTACATAACAGATAAAACATCATTAATCATGTTCTGTTAGATGATGAAGTGGGCTGTGGTTCACAAAGGCTTATACCATTTTTTTAGTGGTTCAGGTTCCCAGGACTTTCTGTTGTTGATACTGCTGACATGATAGAATGGCAGAGTTGTTCACCACACTCTCAGCCATCCAGATTATTTTGAGGAAACTTTCAAAAACTATCCTGGGAAAATGTTAATGTAGTACTGACAACCCTTACATGCATATGCATCTGAGCAGGAGCCAAAGCTAAAGGAGTTACATAAAAGATTGAAATCTCAGTGAAAGGGAGAAGCAAACTAGGAAGGAAAAATGGGCAAGGAGTGCAAAGCAATGCATATATAAACACCAGAAATAAATCTGAAGATATAGTTCGTGCGAAGATGTTTGCTTCCCTTTTGGAAAATCCCAGGAGAATATGCAACCAAATGAACTTCTCTTTTATTAGGCAATATTTGCAATAAAGATGTGCATTTTCATGTCTGCGTCTAACTCCCTAGAAATTTCAGTTTGTGGTTTAATTCAGCGAGTTCTCTGTTTCTGGAAAATGGCAAAGTTTCTGGGAAGAAGGAGAGCTTTACCAATTTCTCAGATCTTTGCTAAAAGCATTGAATATTTTAACTTATTTGGAGAGTGAGGGATGCAGTCATTAACAAATTCATTTAAAATAGTATTTGTCACTTCAATATATATATATATAAAGTTTATGTTCTCTGAATTGGAGGTAAATATATAATTTCACTGGAACTTCTCAGCCTACCAGTAGATCCCATGAAGTAGAATCCTCTTCATTTGACAAGCTCATTACTGCATTGAGGTGACTAGATGACTGACATAAGAAAACATCATGTACACTGAAATGCTCCCTTCTTTTGTGAAGCAGCTCTTCACAATCATATTTTGCAGTCATGCACGGAATATTATCCTGACATCCTCTGTGCCTTGCGGGTTTCAGTGTGACAACAGATTCCCCTCCCCTCATAGTTGACAAAGAAAGTGTAAAAATCCACAGGGAATATACAATATATTCAGCACATAGATCTACATGTGGAAAAGAACAAAGCATTTTCCATGGATGCTGCATATGCTGCTACCGTGCAGTGGCAAACATGGACCATGGCAGTAGCTGCGTGGAAATTTAGGATGAGTGTAAGCATCCCCACCCTTACTGTCCAGGACAGAAAGTATGCAGCACTTAAATTTCCACCCAGCGCGTATACACTTAATCAAGAATATTCCTGATGGAAACATCAATTGGTGATGGCTTACATCCATGAAACAGCTATTGCAAGGCAATCATCCAAGACAAAACTTTTCCATGTTATTTATTTATGTTGGATGGGGTCGCACTCCCTCTGAAGACACAGGTCCCCAGTCTGGGGGCGATCCTGGACTCATCACTGACCCTTGAACCCCAGGTGTCAGTGGTGGCCAGGAACACCCTTGCACAGTTAAAACTTGTGCGCCAGCTGCGCCCATACCTTGAGATGCCTGACTTGGCAATGGTAGTCCATGCCTTAGTCACATTCCGTTTGGACTACTGCAATGCTCTCTACGTGGGGCTGCCTTTGAAGATAGTTTGGAAGCTTCAAATGGTCCAGAGATTAGCAGCCAGGTTACTAACTGGAGCGCAGTTCAGAAAGAGAACCACTCCCATGTTGCGGCAGTTCCACTGGCTGCCAGTCTGCTTCCGAGCTAAATACAAAGTGCTGGTTCTTACCTTTAAAGCCCTAAACGGCTTAGGTCCAGACTATTTGACAAACCGCATCTCCCTCTACAGACCAACTTGGACACTGCAGTCATCGGAGGAGGTCCTCTTCTCAGTTCCACTCCTGTCCCAAGCACGGCTGTCCCAAGCATGGCTTGGGCTGGTGGGAACGAGAGAAAGTGCCTTCCCATGGCTGCCCCCCATCTCTGGAACTCTCTTCCTAAGTAATTAAAGATGCCCCCCTCCCTCCCTGCTTTCAAAAAATAGCTGAAGACATACCTTTGCTAACTGGCTTACGAGGAGGAATAGTAGTTGGTAATACTACCATTATACCTCTGTTTAATAGTTGCTATCCATGCCCTGCTCACCCCACCAGCTCCATAGATATCTTGAGCAATGATTAATCGATTTGCCCCAAAGAAATGGGAAATTATTGTTTCCATTTGATGCTTGATGTTTTGTCTTATATCTGTTATAACAGGCTGTGCTTTTTATTTAATTTTAGTTTGTTAAGTTATAATTCGTATTTATATGTTGGATTGTATAAATTTTGTTAGTATTGATGTATTGTTGTTATATTCGGGCATTGAATGTTTGCCTTTTATGTTTGGAATCCGCCCTGAGTCCCTTTGGGGAAACAGAGTGGAATATAAATAAAGTTGTTTATTATTATTATTATTATTATTATTATTATTATTATTATTATTATTATTTTACTGACACAAAAACACAGTATGTCACAGCAAATGAGATATATATACTGTATCTATATATATATATGATATATATATATATAGATACAAAATCCCAAGTAGAACATATCCCAAGCGTCTAGGACTGTGTGATGGATTTTCGAATGATGTGTGCAGATCCAAGTAAGGTGGCCTTTTGCAGTTGACAGATCCTGATTTTGTCAATGTTTATTGTTTTTGGCACAGCACTCAGTGTGCTGATGACCACTGGGATCATCTGTACTTGGTTTATGCCAGAGCCTGTGCAATTCGATTTTTAGGTTCTGATAACAAATTTGTTGTTGTTGTTGTTGTTGTTGTTATTATTATTATTATTATTATTATTATTATTTACTCTATTTATACCCTGCCATGGTCAGGTCTGACTTCCCAATACACGGGCACAGGTGGTGCACAAGTTTTAGTCCCTTGGAGAAACTGGAGCTTTTCTGCAGAAGCAGTTAGCTTGGCCTATTTAGCTGTTGCTCATCTAATACCACATATGGACCTCAGAATTCCCTTGATGCTCCATCAGTTTGTTTTCCTTCTGTAAATTCACCAATTTCCCTGAGCTAGGCTGATACCTTG